CGGGCGACGGTTTTTCTCCTAAAATCCCACAAATGGCATTCAAAACTAGACTATGAATGATGCCTAAGGAGTTTTTTTTCACGTCTTGCCCCCCTACCTCAGGTCCATTACTGGCAACGCCACATGTTCTGCATCATAGCTATGTACAAAGAGGGAGCTCAAAGGTATTAACCTATATTTCCCTAATAAAACTGAACTGAACTGAACACAAAAAGTTGGTGACATATACTAGTTTTTACATTTTTTTACTGTTCTAAACTTTTGAACTAATGCTGTTAAGTACTTCTTCGTCGTCCTGAAAACGCTTTCCCTTTTAGATTTTTTTCCATGGCAGGGGACTAGTTCGGACGCGTACGGATACAAGAAACCGTTGTCAAGCCGGTTTTAGCCAGAACTGGTTGCTTTTGGAAGCTAGAGGTGGGCAGGTGAGACAGTAAATACCCGATCACCATAAAGCATCTCTTTTTTTGCAGCGCCTCACGCAATGGCTTCAATAGTAACCTTTCAGCCCTGTGGTGCCACGAGGGAAAACATTTCGGCGTGAAGCATTCATTGTAAGTCGAAATAACAAACGACTTTAAATTTTACTTCACTGGGCCGTAGTTTTATGGGCCCGGGGGGAGTCGAAGTGACATTTGACCATTTCTGAACTAGGGTAAACCACTCATGAATTATTGCCGGATTTAGAGCCGCCGCCTTCGTATAAGCTGACGAAAATACTGAAACTGTTTCTACTGCTGGTTCTCTTCAACAGGAAACAGAAGCTGGTGTCGGCGCTTCGCGCCGTAAAATGTGTCAACAGCAAAGGCGCCGAGAGCGTTGAGGGGTCTTAAATAGAACAATCACTCTGTCCACTGTTATGGTTTCGCATAAACGCTACTTGGCAGTTTTTTGTATCATATTCTGCCCCATTTTACTGTTTACCAAGTCCTTCATCGTAAAAGATCTTACTTGTAACTATTTTCTTAGTCCTCTAAATCTCAATACGTGTATGTGTGTGTGTTGTGATGATAAACAACTCCATTCGATGTTACGTAACTGGAGAGCTATACAGGTGAACTACTCTGTAGCGTGTGTCAACTTCAACGTCTTCGGCTGCTACAGTCGAGCTCGGCGCCGGCAAAAGCTCGGATTGCCACGGGGCATGTGATTAGGGTTCGCAACTTACCACTGAGAAGAGTCTCCTTTCCACCAGACAGGGCGCCGAAGGGAAGCATGCCGTTTGGTGTCAGGCCCTTCAGCTCCAGGATACTCTCGCTCTCTTCTCTGCAAAGGGAAGGAAGTAATCAGATTTAAGCATGCGTATTCTGTTGAAATGCCAGCCAAAGAGCAAAAGGCTGCAAAAAGTAATAGGGACCCAGAGCGCGCTTCTATACTGCCTGGTAAAAAGTCTTTCGATCATGGACTCACATTCATGGGGGTTTTTATTTTTATCATCGTAATGCTGTTCCCCCGACCGGTTTGCGGGACATGTCATTTTCCTTGTGCCCTCGCAGCCCTCGTAGCGTGATAACTAGTAATATATGTGGGT